TATTATTTATAAAAGAAAACATTTTTTTTTTAAATTTTTTGATTCACATTAAAATAAAACATGAATCGAATTTTATTTATTATCATTATCCCATTATTGTCTCTGCTATTATTTCAAGTGAAGGTTTCACAGCTTTATCACTGATTTTATTTTTTTTATTTAGACTAGAAAAGAATTAGTTGAAGTTAAAAACCGGATGCAGAGATCAATAAATTATACCGACAAGTCGAGCTCGACATCGACGGAGTCTTCAAATATCTTCTTTTATTGAAGAAGAAGAAATACGCGGCTGTGACTCTAAGTAGGGGCAAAGATGGGGGCTTAAAGACCGATGTTGAGTACAAAGGTTTAGATATTGTCAGACGAGACTGGTCAAGACTTGCCGCCGAAGCCGGCAAATTCGTCCTCAATCAAATCCTAAGCGACGAAAGTATCGAAAATCGTTTTTTGAACATCCTAACACACTTGACGCAACTTCGGGCGGATTTACAGGACGGAAAAGTGCCACTTTCCCTGCTTGTTATCACGAAACAGTTGTCGAAGAACCCAGATCAGTATCCCGACGCCACCACTTTGCCCCACGTTCAAGTGGCGGTGAYATACAACAAACAGGGGGGGCACTACCGGAGTGGGGACACTGTCCCTTATTTAATCTGCGATGATGGTACGAAAAATCCCGCCACGCAACGTGCCTACCACATTGAGGAATTGAAAAATTCAGAAGAGTTGAAAATRGATGTTAATTATTATCTCGCTCACCAAATCCATCCAGTGGTGAGTCGGATTTGTGAACCAATTGAGGATTTGGATCTTGTTCAAATCTCCGATTGTCTTGGAGTCGATATCAGTAATGTGAAAAAACTGAAAGTTGATGATGATATTGGAGAGAACGTTGTTGATCCWCTAACTAAATTTCGCGACGTCGATAAGTTTATATTTAAATGTTTTAATTGTGGGGGCGAAAACAGCGTTGATGGGCCTTTTATCAACAATCTTCCAGTGTTACAAAAGTGTCAGAATTGTAAAGCAAGACCGGCCGATTACGTCTCCTACATCCAAAACCAAATGATTTCGACAATRAATTCCTACATCGAGAAATTTTATTTGAATAAAATGTATTGTGAAAATCCGTTGTGTCGCAAGGAAACTAAAAGAGTTTCGTTGGATTCTTCAGGAAGAGTTCCGTTTTGTAAAGCTTGTAATTCAGTTTTGGTCAAGGAATATTCTGGTTTAAGCCTATTCACGCAAATTACGTATTTCCAATACATTTTCGACTTGACTAAATTGAATAAAAGTGAGTTTAGTTAAAGGTGAGTTGAGTGTGAAATTGATTTTTGTGTTTTTAGTACCACTAATGGAGCTTCAAATCGAAAAAGCTTATAACGAAATCAAGGAAACTGTAGAAAAGCGTTTCGAATTTTGTGGCTTTTCGACTATTAAGTTGGAAAAATTGTTTTCTTCGGTCGAGCATAAGAAAAAGCAACTGGAGGGTGAAGACAACCCTGATTTTATGATGGAAGAAAGTTTGCTTAATCTCATGTTGGAAGAGGAGTAATATCTATTTAAATTATTGTATAGAATTATTGCGTTATTTATCTACTCGTGTTTAAGAAATAAATAAACCTTTTTATTGAATAAATTTAAAAATTTGAAACAATATTAATCAACCTGGAAAATTAATTTTATTTTTCAGCGGTTTCCATCACTGCAACTAGTGCTATAATATGAACAAAACATATAGTCATTAAGCTACATACTTATTATTGTAGTTTTTGGTGGTGATTAGAATTTTTTTAATAAACAAATTAACTTACCTTTAAACCTGCTTCCATTGCGTAAAAATGGCTTGTTCCTGTTTTTTTTTTCTTCTAGCAACAAAATAGGCTTCTTTGTAAGGTTTTTCGGGTGTTTTTAAGGTAATTATAAATAATAATACAATATTTAAATAATAAAGTAGATTTTTTTTAACATTATTTAAGGGAGTACTGTTTTTCTTCGTTTGGCTTTCAGTCGTCGTTTTTTAATTTTCGCTGGAAATACGTTGAAATTAATTGAACGTTTAAATTTTCTGGAGATCATCACAATTTCCTTGTTATTTACAACTCGAGGCTCTTCAAAAACTGTTTCCAAAGTCAAGTTCAGTTTTTTTTAATTGTTTATCAAGGTAATAATTTTTAATTTCCTCTGGGCTACTTTCATCACTTAATTTTAATGGTTTAGGTTTTAATGGGATAGGCTCTGGTACACAAGTCAATGGGATTTTATTTCGTTTTGACATTCGCAGGACTGGCTTCAGGCATCAAGTCTTCATTTTCTTCCATTATCATTATCCCATAAAAAAAACTATTATAAGTAAACTTGCAATCCATGAACACTTGTTTTTTTATATAAAATCTTTATTAATAGCATGCTTTTTTGTTTTTTTTTTCTTTATTTAGTTAATCGTAGCACGAGTTTCAGGAAAAAATTACAAGTAGATTCTACTATGTTTTCTATTTTTTCTTTTATAAATACTTGCATAAATTCTTAAAATAACATATTAAAAGTTTTCTAATTATCTTGTTATAATAAACAACAGGAAATTACTAAACTATAAATACCTAATGTATTCCATAGTAATATGCAATCTCTTAAATAAATGTGTTTTATACACGTATATCTGAGAAATAAATATTAGACAATCATTATTAATATTATTTATAAAAGAACATTTTTTATTAATAGAAAAAAAATAGTTGAAAAAGTTAAAAACCGGATACAGACTTTCCAAAGCATTGGCAAACTTCTCCAATTCTGATATTTTATAATGCATTAATTAATAATAATAAAATGCATTAGCTTACAGGAATCTGTAAAATGCTTTTTCGTTTGTTGTTTAACATTTAAAATTTCACTTTGCCTACATCTTTCAACAACAGAAATACAAATATAATTATCACTTTCTTTGTGTTTTTAATTTGTATTAATAATTTCTACCATAAATAATGATAAAAAAATATCAAATGCGTCGCCAATAAAACAGATCCAAAGTCCCTAACTCTCTAACTAGCTTATTTTCGCGCCAAAACTCGTGAGTGTTGTTTGTGAGAACACAGGTGGTGATAAATGTTGTAAAAACCTCTTTAATTCTTAATCTTTGCGTGAAGTTAAACTCAAAAACATGGATCGGCGTGATTACGACAAGGATAAAGGTGAGTTTAGTGTATAAATGTTGAATTTTCCCCTTAACGGTCATGTTTTAGAGAGCATCAGATCTTTCTTGTTGGAGTTTTGTGTTCAGGATGATTCCGGTCACAAAAACTTCAAATATTCAAACCAACTTACGAAATTGGCTCATCGCGAACAAGTAGCTCTTTACATCGAACTTGACGATTTATTTGCACACGATGAGGATTTGGCAAAAGCTGCAATAAACAACACTCGCCGATACACAACTTTATTCTCCGACATTGTTTTCGAACTGCTCCCGACGTTCGTAGAACGCGAGATTGTCTCAAAAGACGCCTTGGATGTCTACATTGAACATCGCTTAATGATGGAGCAACGTTTGAGACAACCAAATGAACAGAGAGATGCTCGAAATAAATTCCCACCGGAATTGTTACGCAGATAGTGAGTCTTGTGCACCAATGGGGCCCTCTTAACCTTCCTTTTTAGCGAAATCTACTTCAAGGACTTATCCGCGAATAAAACCGTCCCAATTCGCGAAGTGAAAGCCGAACACATCGGGAAATTGGTCACTGTGAGGGGCATAGTCACCCGGAGCACCGAAGTCAAGCCAATGATGACCGTAGCGACGTACACGTGCGACCAATGCGGGGCGGAGACCTACCAGCCGGTCCAGGGGCTCAGTTTCATGCCAGTTTTGATGTGTCCTAGTGAAGACTGCCGGGTGAATAAATCCGGGGGGCGCTTATACCTCCAAACTCGCGGCTCGAAATTCGTCAAGTTCCAAGAACTCAAAATACAAGAACACAGCGACCAAGTCCCAGTGGGGCACATCCCGAGAACTTTGACGATTTTCTGTCGTGGGGAAGTCACGAGATTGGCGCTCCCGGGGCACCACGTGGCCGTCACTGGGACTTTCCTCCCCTTGCTCAAGACCGGCTTCAAGCAGATCATGGGGGGGCTGCTCTCGGAGACTTATGTGGAAGCCCACCGAATTGCCTTAGTGAACAAAACCGAAGACGATGAAAGCTCATCTAAACCACTCACTCCTGAAGAATTGTCGGCTTTGACTGAAGATGATTTTTACACGAAATTGGCGATGTCTTTAGCACCGGAAATTTATGGTCATCTCGATGTGAAGAAAGCTTTGCTTCTTTTGCTAGTTGGGGGAGTGGACCGGAGACCCGACGGTATGAAAATCCGGGGGAATATCAATATTTGCTTGATGGGGGACCCCGGAGTCGCCAAATCGCAACTTTTGGGGTACATTGATCGATTAGCGCCACGAAGTGAGCTAAATTATTCGAGTTTGTTTGGTTTTTTACAGAATTTCTTTCAGGTCAGTATACCACCGGTCGAGGGTCGTCTGGAGTGGGGCTCACAGCGTCAGTCATGAAAGACCCCATGACGGGTGAGATGATGCTGGAAGGGGGCGCACTGGTCTTGGCCGATCAGGGGGTTTGTTGCATTGATGAGTTTGATAAAATGGCTGATGCGGATCGAACAGCAATTCACGAAGTTATGGAACAACAAACAATCAGCATTGCAAAGGTATTTTAAAATTTCATTAAAAATTTACTAAATTAATCCAATTTTTTTTGTCGAGTATATTTGGCACTTTTTAGGAATAGAAACAATTATTTTTGAAAACATTTGCTTAAACAGGCTAAAAAAATAACAAATTAGCACAAAACTGATATTATTTTAAGTTAAGAGACTCATTTATTTTGTATAATTTTGGTCTAAAAATTATTTGGTTGGTTGGTTTCACTCGACTTACTTGATTTTGCAAAAAAACGAAAAATTTGGACAAAAATGTTACTTTTTAAGACGTTTGTACACGAAAATCTTAGGCTTTTGTGAGATTTCGTTAAAAAGCCGAAAAAACGCTCCGTTAAGTCAAGAACTATTATTTTGCTTTTTTCAAAAATTTTTAGTACGTTTCTCAGTTAGAAACGAATTTTTTTACAATAATGCACTAAATTAAGGCAAAATAAGCCTATTTTTGCGGTTTTTGGGTATATTAAAGCATATTTTAGAAAATTGTTTATTAATTTTCTTTTTTTCAAGCAATTATGTTTTTAAATTAAATACTCTATTTTTTGTGAGATTACACTAGAACAGACTGAAAAATCCAAAAAATGGGATTATTTTTGCTTTTTTTAATGTATCAGTACGTTTTTCAAGTAGAATAATTTTTTCGCGAAATTTCATTAAAAATTTACTAAATTAATGCAAGATATTGTCATTTTTTGCTTTTTTCGAGTACATTTGGCACGTTTTAGAAATAAAAAAATACCACTATTTTTGAAAAAATTTGCTTAAACAGGCTAAAAAATCACCAAATTTGCACAAAATCGATATTATTTTAAGTGGTTTTAGTTTGGTTTTGTACTCGAGACTTATTCATTTTGTATAATCTTGGTCAAAAATTATTTTATTTGTTTCACCCGACTTAATTGATTTTTGAAAAAAAATTACCAAAAAGCCAAAAAACCACAAAATTTGGACGAAAATGTTATTTTTTAAGACGTTTGTTCACTACAATCTCAGACTTTTGTGAGATTTTGTTAAAACAAGCCGAAAAAACGCCAAGTTAAGTCAAAAATTAGATTGTTCTTGCCTTTTTCGGTTTTAGTACGTTTTTTGTGAGATTACTCTACAACAGACCGAAAAATTTCGAAAATAGCATTATTTTTCTTTTTTAAAGTGAGTGTTAGTAAGTTTTTAGCCAAAAACGGAATTTTTCACAAAATTTTATTGAAAATTAATTAAGTGAATCCAAAATAATGCTATTCTTCTTTCGAATACATTTAGCACGTTTTAGAAACAAAAATAATTATTTTTGAAAAAATTTGCCTTTACATGCTGAAAAGTTACCAAATTAGGTACTATTTTAGATTGTTTAACTCAATTGAGTTCATTTTAGAATTAGTCTCATTTATTTTTAAAATTCTTATGAAAGTCTTCTACGTTATGTTTGTTTTTTCGAAAAATTTCTTTAATAATGCCAAAAATTCACTAAATGAAGTCAGGAATAGTGTTGTATTTAAGCTCATTTTTGCAAGTTTTTAATATAATAAGCCAAAAAATCACCAAGTTAATTCAAAAATTATACGTGGACGCAAACTGCAGCTAAAGCGAAATTTAATTAGTGCAAATTTGATTTTTGCCAAAGAAAGTCGAAAATTTTTCATTTTTTTTAGAAAATGTGTTGCCTTGAAATTAGTATCAACTATAGCGTGTTCCAACAAGTTATAACACGAAATGATTCATTTTTGGGACACGCTGTATAGTTGAAAATAATTTCTTAAAATTTCAATATTTAAAGATAAATAATGGACTTTACCACCTCGCTGGAACACCCTGTATTTGTATCAAAAATTCGAATTCGCTTCCTGTTTTAGAAGAATTCCCGTAATAATGACTGGAAACTAGTTATTTTTTCTAATTTGCGTTTATAATATGTTTATAAACGTCTCTTAGTAGTAACACTAATAACTAATAATTTATAAATTTTATTTTTAATGACAGACGGCAGAAATGATTAAAAAAATCAGGTGGGCGCCAAGTGTTACCAACCGATACCAACTAACACAAAATTCTCTAGACGACAAAAATATACCGGGTGTCCCAAGCTTGGATGTAGGAAATTAACATGGAAAATTTGTTTTTATTTTTTTCCGGCTGCAGGAGTAACAAAAATCAAAATCTGATTAATGAAACTCGTAGTGCTCGAAAAGGGCTATCTTATCGACATTTTTGTCAATTTTTTAATTAACTCCATTTGGGCAAAAAGGGCCCTCGAAAAATCGAAATTTGAATTTGCCGGGTTAACGTTACTAAGTAACGAACTATCAAGTGATTGTTGCCAACAGAGAATTTGTCAGCTACAAGCTCTTGCGTTGATTGTGTTTTCTGAATGTTTTTGGAAAATAAATGTTAATTTTCCAATAATGCTTGAAAAGCATTTTCATTCAATTATTGATGTGTTTTATTGGAAAATTAACATTTATTTTCCAGAAACATTCAAATCCTTTGTTGGCAACAATGACTGGATAGTTCGTTTCTTAGCAACGCTAACCCGGTAAATTCAAATTTCGATTTTTTGAGGGTCGTTTTCGCCCAAATGGAGTTAATTGGAGAATCCACAAAAATGTCGATAAGATAGCCCTTTTCGAGCACTACAAGGTTCATTAATCAGATTTTAATTTCTGTTACTCCTGCAGCCGGAAAAAAATAAAAACTAATTTCCCATGTTAATTTGCTATATCCAAACCTGCCTGGGACAGCCGGTATTTTTTTTTTAATTAAAAAAAGAAAAAAGCACTCATCCCATAGAAAACCCTTATAAAACTTGTTCTTTAATATACTATTGGGAAATTTGCAAATAATTGTTATTTCCAGGCGGGGATTATGACTTGTTTGAACGCAAGAGTCTCGATTTTGGCGGCGGCGAATCCCGCCTATGGCCGATACAATCCCAAGCGTACAATCGAACAAAACATCCAATTACCGGCCGCTCTTTTATCCCGTTTTGATCTGTTGTGGTTGATTCAGGACAAAGCTGACCGTGATAATGACTTAAAACTCGCCAAACACATCACATATGTCCACCAGCATTGCAAACAGCCCCCCACACAAGTCAAAGCCCTCGATATGGCCGTCATGCGGAAATACATCGCGCTATGTAAGTTGAAAGAACCGGTGATTCCCGAAGACCTCACCGATTACATTGTCAATGCCTATGTGGAATTGAGGAATGTCGCGAGAAATTCCAGAGACATGACTTTTACTTCAGCTAGGAATTTGTTAGGGATTTTGAGACTCTCCACCGCTTTAGCCAGACTAAGATTGGCCAATGTTGTGGAAAAAGACGATGTTAATGAAGCCATCAGACTGATGGAAATGAGCAAAGACTCTCTCAACCAGACTTTTGAGAAAGGGGCGAGACCACCCAATGTTAATGACCAAATCTTTGCCATCATTAGGGACCTGGCAGGAGATGAGAAAACGGTTAAACTAACAGACGTTATGAACAAATGCGCCAGTAAAGGACACAACCCTGAGCAAGTCGATTCCTGCATTGAGGAATATGAAGAGCTCAATGTGTGGCAAGTGAACCAGACTCGCACGAAAATCACATTTATTTAAGTTTTTTTGTATTTTTGTGTTCAATAAAGAATTGATACTGATATTTACTATTGATTATGCAACCAGTTATACATCACTTTGCAATATGAAAAATTACATGATTCAGTAACAAATAATCGGACTTTCACTAGATTTATTTAAGTTGCAACTCACTAATTTCCGTGATTTGTACCTTTTTATTCAATAAATCACTAGTCAAATACTTCTTTTATTAAATGAATAATGTTGCTTATGCAACTAGTTATACACCAGTGACGTTATTTTCATCTGTCAAAATTGTCATATGATTCAATAACAAACAAAAATCGCATAAAATGGGCGAAAAAGCACACCTGCCGCAGGAAAACGGCCTTTCTAAAACCAGTCCTGAGTCTCAGGATCAAGAAACGCATTCGGAGGATGAAGCTGGGGACGATTTGGATGACATGTCACCTGAAGGTAAGATGAAGTAAAATGGGGGCTCACCCAGTCTTGTCAGAATTTCAGATGCTGGATAGTCAACTAGACGCGTTAAATTCAGCGTTGGACAACATCGAGCAAAAGAATGACGACATTCACGCCCAACTTCTACTGCTGTTGCAATCAAACCGCGAAATCAGACAACAAATTCAAGAATCGAGTGCTGAGGGCGAACAAGAAGCCGACACTCAAAACCAATGAGTATTAACATTCCGGGAAGTTTTCTTAGTTGTTTTGTTAAGGGTTACGTATGTTTTATTTGAATAAAAGTCTAGTTTAGCGTTTATTTTTTGTTACAAATCGTTGAGTATTTGTTTGAATGCTTCAGTGTCGATCTCTTCGATGATCGTAACGTTTTCTTTTTTGGTTTTTAAATGGTCGAGGACGATCTGCCCTCGTGTTTGAGCCCCGTGAAGCTCAACACTTGCATAATGTTGACTTTTTTTCGTGATTATTTCAGGTTTGAGGAAAGCAGCGGCGAGAAAAGCGTCGCAAGGTAGCCAAATTTTCTCGTCTTTTTTGTAGATACTCCTCTCGGCTTGGTTTAATAGTTGAATAGCCGGGTTTGTTTTCGCACCAAAAACATTAAAACGCCAATCCTGAAGAAGAAAAAATCAATCATCACTTAAAGTCTGTTTTTTTTTTTAAATGGAAATGCCAAACAGTCTTAACGTTGGCATTACTAGTAAACTCATTAATGGTTATTTTGAATAAAGGAAGTTGGCAGTTCCGGTTTTTAGAATTAATTTGAAAACAATGTCATTACACGTCAACATAAAAAATCGTCTAAGAAAATTTAGAGACGAAACACCAAAAAAGATACAAATTCGGTACACTACCAGTTTTTCGAAATTTGGAAACGAATAGTTCGCAAGCAGGAAGTTAGAAAAAGGGCCCGTTAAAATGTAGACGCAATTTGTAATGCAGTTTTGCTAAATTTTCTTAATTTTTAGCAAGAAATCGACAAGAATACAAAATAAACATGAATGAGAAAGAACCTCGGAAAGAACGCAATTAAATTAGTGTCTTGTGCATCGTTTTTTGAGGAATGAGTTGAAAAAGTAATAATTTTCAAACTAAAGCTGAAGAAGAATTTATAAAATGCATCAACTTTGAGCTCATTTCAATAAATTACACGAAATTTATTGCCAATCATCATAATACCTACTTGTATCTTTTGCTAAATAACTTTTTTCTGTATATACATCCTTTTTCTTCAAAGTTTTTGTAGCAAGAATCTCATTTTTGTCCATAACATTGTACTTACTTGCGGTGTGTTTCTGTCAAAACTATTAGCACTGAATTCTGTATTTAGACCTTAGGTAAATATTTGTGGCTATGGAGACAAGTGCTACCAATTTTTTCACCAAAATTTTGACTTGATAATTTCCATTTAAAAAAAACACAAAACTGAAAAACGTACAAATGTGATTTTTGGGTAGAGACAAGTCTCCCATGTGAGGATAAAAATCGGTTTTTTGATCGTGTCGAGGACGATAAACGCTGCTTCTGGGTCTATGTAGAAATTGTATTCTGCTGTGGGGGTGATGTTTCCAACGGCGGTATAATTACCCCCCATAATCCACAAATCTTTAATAGAATCAGCAAAACTCCCATAAAGACGCAACGCCAGGGCTAGATTAGTCAATGGGGCGACACAAATGAGACTAATTTCTCCAGGATCACCAAGAATGATATTTGCAATTAGTGAAGCTGCTGGCTCCTGCACCGTTTCCATATTTGGTAGCCCCTTTGGCATAAAATCCCCAAAACCGTCCTTGCCGTGGAAAAGTTTGATTGGGTGCGTGGGTGGTATAAATTGTTTGGCAGCCCCTTTGAACACCGGGATCTAAAATTAGTCATTTAACCGGTCCTTCTAATAACTCAACTTACATCAGTCCTTTTAACAGTCTCGAGGAGCCTCATCACATTAATGCAAACATTATCCACTGTTGTGTTCCCCATGGAACACACAATGGCTTCAATTTTAATTTCTCGATTTTTCTCGGCATTTAGCAGGATTAAAAGTGCGAGGAAATCGTCGGTGCCGACGTCCACGTCGACAATAACTCTTCTCTTACCGTCCGCCATTGATAACAATAAAACTTATCAAAGTAATTTATCAGCGTTTTTATCTAATCAATTTGAATAATTCGCGCCGGTTTCTTCGCGTCGTGATTGGTCGGTTTGAGTATTGATTAGTCGGCAAAGACGGGTGCGCGCGGTATCAACCAACTCAAATGTAATGTCAACAATAAAACTGTTCGAAATGCACAAATTTAGCTTAATTGTTTAATGTTAATTCTTGTCGATGTTATATCGGTTTTAGTGGTCATATTTGTGATATTTGCGTACTTTGTTTACACCGCCTGTCGCACCTTTTACGGAATGGAGCCAGACGAGGCTAAATACATGCGGACGTGAGTAATTCTCATTTATAAATTCTTAATCGGATTTGAAACGTTGCAGGGAGAGAAAACCCGGGACTTTGGACGTGCATCCCACTCTGAATGCCATTGTTTTGAATTACGAAATCGATGTCCAGATTTTGGGGGCGAAAGAAAACGTCATTTATGGGGAGAAAAAGGTGGGTTTAATCGGCCCTCAAGTGCGAAAAATGACGAAATTTCGTTACAGAACTTGAAAAAAATCATAGAACTCCCGATGTTAAACAGCAGGACTGATTGCTACGCCTTAGCCAAAGAAGTTGTCTACCAATGCGACTTGATTCATCATTCACGCATCTCGGAAGTCGAGCAAACCATTTACTACTTAAAGAAACGAAAATTAAGCCATGGAAGTGTTAAAGGTATCATACTTTTTTTTAGAAATGTTATTTATAATACCAACATTATGAGTATTTCTAGTCGCTTCACTTCAGTAAATCTCAATTTCTACAATGAAAGTTGACGAAATATGCAATGAATAATGCAAAAATTACATTTTTGCGCTTTCTGAAACAATTAACTTGACCGGAAACTGCGAGTTTAAATGCCTCGTTATTTAATCGCTTTTCTAACGTTAGTCATGAAGCGGCCTTGTGCTTAATTTCGGAATTAAATAAGACTCTCACTTGGACCATACCGCCAAACAATTTTTTTTTATTTCGTTCTGTTGTGATTCAGACTATTGTTATTAAAGATGCATGCGTTCAAGGTTGTGCAAAAAAATTCGCAAAGTAACACTCTCGGAATAATTCGATTTTTTGCGATTATAGAATTGGCGTAGGTGTGGAAATAACTAAAAACATGGCCAAATAATCGATTGTTTGCCACAATATTTGACCTCGGCTGTAAAAATTGTTTCTTGTATAAAATGTCTTTTTCGGACTTATTAAAATAGTGCCCAAAATAGTTATTTCGGGTACTGTAGTAGCACCGTTGTCACATTTGATTATAAAATAATCAATCACGGTTAAAGTCTGATTTAAGATATACAAAAACAAAATTAAAAACAAATCGAAAATAAAATTTCACCAAAATCTTCAAAATTAATGCCAAAATTACTGTCATCATGACTTTCTTTTCAAATTATACCTTTCTTGAACATTTTACTGTCTGCACAACTGTCAGAATGGAAAAATTAAAAATTTATGAAAGAGTAATTCCAAGCCAAAACGACCACTTTTAAAACTCATTGTTTCTGATTTTCGTAAATTTGAGATATGTTGTAGAACGTGTAAAAATAAGTGACACGTATTCCACCGTTTTTTATTTTTTCAATGTATGTTGAAAAAACAGGGAAGTACAAAAATTAAGTACCTCGTAACAAAAAGAATTTTTGTCTAAAGAATAAATCAACATACTGAAACGATTTTTTTTAATAATAGATATAAATAGGTCCATTACGGACGTGATAATACATGTATTCTAAAAATTTGTTATTAACAAATAATTTAAAAATATATTGTTTAAACAAAAAAATAACAATTACGCAGGTTTTTAAAATTCTCAAAAAAATTATGTGAAAATTTTCATATTTTTACTATGTCTTCACATAAGTTTCTAGACGGACGTTTTAAAAATGGCTGAAAAACAAATTTTTTTTTGATCCCCTAAGATCGCCTGAAAGTAACGTTTCCATGAAAATTAAATAGAAAAATCACCAATTACCGTCACTAATAAACTGTTGTATAGAAAACACATAATTTCCAATAACTTATTAACATTTATTTTTCAAAAAATATCAATAATAAATACAAAATCCTCGATTGAGGAAGAGTACTCTCTATATTTTTTTAATTCTATTTTCTGATATAGAATAAAAGTATGTAGATTTCGCATACTTTTTATGAGCTTCGCTTGACTAAAACGATCATTTAAAAAATCGCAGTCTTTCAACTTGTCAATTTGATATACAGGGTGTGTCAAAAGTCCCGGACCAACGTGACATGCCGTGTAAGGTAAGGGTAAGATACCAGGAGGATGGAAAAAATGGAAAAAAAAAATTATCTATAAAAATTTCGAAGTTATGAGTGTTTAAATTTTGCACTTTGGCTCTATTTGTTTCTGTTGGAAAAATAATTTTCCATTTTTTTTTGCTATTAGAAGAGGAAATAAGGAAGCTGTATCTTAAATTGTAACTTTATTCACTGTTATTTGTGGCTTTTATTGGCAAAATTATTGTACCTTTATTAAATAATTATAAAAATAAAACATATACAAGATCATCAATATTATTAAATAGACATAAAAAATGTCAACTTTCAAAAAATTAACGTAATTTTTTTTTGACAGATTGAGTTTTTTTAACATTTTTTTTTTCATGTTCCTGATATCTTACCTTACATGCCATGTCACGTTGGTCCGGGAATTTTGACACATCCTGTATAGCAAAATGTAATATGTGAAATATTTGTGAAATATTTACTCTACCGAAGAATTTGTTTTTATTATTGATATTTTTTGAAAAATAAATGGTTATAAGTTATTGGAAATTATGTGTTTTCTTTAGAACAGTTTATTAGTGACATAATTGGTAATTTTTCTATTTAATTTCCAAGGAAACGCTACTTTCAGGCGATCTTAGGCGATCATACACTATGCAACGCTCTCAAAAAAAATTTTTTTTCAGCCATTTTAAAACGTCCGTCTTGAAACTTATGTGAAGACATAGTAAAAATGTGAGAGTTTTTACATAAATTTTTTGAGAATTTTAAAAACCTGCGTAATTGTTATTTTTTTTTTGTTTAAACAATATATTTTTAAATTATTTGTTAATAACAATTTTTTTGAATACATGTATTATCACGTCCGTAATGTACCTATTTATTAAAAAAAATCTTTTCAATATGTTCATTTGTTCTTTAGATAAAATTTCTTTTTGCTCCGAGATTCTTAATTTTGTACATCCCTCTGTGTTTTCATCATACATTGAAAAAATAAAAAACGGTGAAATACGTGTCACTTATTTTTACACGTTCTATAAAATATCTCAAATTTAGGAAAATCAGAAAAAAATGAGTTTTAAAAGTGATCGTTTTGGCATGGAATTGCTCAATCAATCAATTAATTAATTAATTAATTAATTAAAGCCTTGAAGACATATTTCATTGGTAACTAAGAAAACCGAATGGGCGGGGCAGATAAAAAGTAATTTGTGCTTTAGTACAGGGTGTCCCAAGTTTTAGGGCGGGCGCAAAAATAAATATTTCTAAGTAGAAATATTTTAATCAATTATTAAAAAATTTTTTTTGCTAGTTCATACGATAGAGGATGCTTTAGTATTATTCAAAATTTTGAGCGTATGTCAGTGAGACGCTAAAAATCAAATTTGGAAAAAAAATAAGTAGAAAATATTCCAGTTAATTGATTTTTTTTGCGCCGGCCCTAAAACTTAGGACACCCTGTATAGTAGCCAAAATACAAGTTTTTGTTCTCATCTGTATCCGCAAAAACTGTATTTTAAGTAGTTGTAACAAAAATAACTATTTTGGTTTTATCTTGATTTAAATACTTTTCCATCTGGAGCATTCCCCTAAACTAAACTGATTTCCAGACAATAACAGTTCCCATGATCTCAAACAAATAATCAACGCCGACGAACCGAATTACAACAATTTATCCGATTACATTGAACTGCTCTACGAGGGAATGTCTGAAAAAATTAAAGGAGCTCACTTGATCCAACTTTTGGCTCGTGATCCGGAAAATTTGGACGCATTATCGAAAAATGGTATAAAACACACTCCATTTCGAATAAAAATGACAATGTTTTGTTTGTAGAAACCGTAATAAGCGCTTTAGCGCGCGTTTTACGTGAGGATTGGAAACGAAGTATTGTTTTAAGCACACATCTGGTGTTTACCTTTTTCTGTTTCTCGATGTACTCACGTTTCCACGAGGTGATACTCAAGTGTAAGGTGAGCAAAGTAATAAAACTCGGATTTTTATGTCAAGTACTTGGCTAAATGTTTGAACAGGTGTGTGAAATTATGCAACAATAGAAAGTTGCGTCTTTATTTGGCCTTGATTTTTTCTAAATAATTAGGAGAGAGTTACGGACGCCATATACAGGCTGTATCATGAAAAACGCCCCAAGCCATAACTCCATTATTTTTAAAGTTATGACAATACTTCTTAGAACAAAGTTGAACATTTTTTGTCTTCTCTCGTTTGGGATAGATGCTAAATTAATGCTGTTTTCTGTTTCACCGGAAATCACATCAACTTTATTTTTTTTAATGGAACACCTTGTATATTTTACCACTTTTGAATTCTTTGTTTAATTGTTTTTTAACAAGTTTTAGTACCATATGCCTAAAACTAACCGTTCGTGAGGTATTCACCAAATAATGTATTTATTAAAGTAGGCAGTGGAAAACAATAATATCAAGTAATGTTGACAAATATTATTCCTTTGCATTTTCTCTTACTGTTTTTATACTTTTTAATGTTAATCATGGATGATAATGTGTTAACAGACATATTTTGAATAAAATAAAAATTGTGGGAGAGCACTACGCTTTTACACTGGGTGATTTCTGATGAGAGACGTTCCAAATCGCCGAAAATTTAAGCGACTTAAAGAAAATTTGATGATGTTTTGGGCTTTTAGAAAACCCAAATTAAAACATCTCCAATTTCAAAGAGATACAGAATTAGATAGGTATTGAAGAAAATGCAAGAACATAAATTCAAGAAATTGCAAGTAACGTTGGCTTATCGCACGCAACTGTTCAAATTTGGGTTTTCTAAAAACCCCAAACATCCTCAAATTTTCTTCAGGTCGATGAATTGGAACTTCTCTTATTGGAAACCGCCCAGTGTAAAGGTGTTGTGGTCTCCAACTATTTTTATTGCTTTCAAAATATTCTTGAATCATGTCTGTTAACACATTATCACCAGAACACCAAAAAGTATAAAAATAATAAGAGAAAATGCAAAGTAATAATATTTGTCAACATTACTTAATATTATTGTTTTCCACTGCCTACTTTAATGAATTTTTAAATGACTCATATCTCACGAACGGTTGCTTTTAGGCACATGGTACTAAAACTTGTTAAAAGACAATTAAACAAAGAATCCAAAAGTAGTAAAACACACAGGGTGTTCCATTAAAAAAAAAGTTGATGTCATTTTCGGTGAAACAGAAACAGGGCGTTTTTCATAATACAGCCTGTATGTACAGGATGATTCACAAAGTATATTAGAAATTTCAGTACCTACTATACTTTGTGAATCACGTATCCATAGTAACGCAAATATTCATCGTATTTGATTGGTTGATAGGTGGGTTCGATCTGTATGGATGTCATCGATTACGAGTTGCGAAGATACGACAAGTGGAAGGCGGATTTGGAGGGCGTCGAGGCGCCGGACGACGTCCCAATCGTCCGGAAACCGTGTCCGAGTAGCGCGAGCATGTCGGAAATTCCCCGGAGTCGTATTCCGGAGCCGGTTCGTCCCCGCTCCGGGAATTTCTCCGAGACAAACATGAAAGCCGTGATGGAGGGTAGCGTTTATGACGATTTGACAAATTCCACGGAAAATATCGACGATAAGAAATTGAGCGAAGCGGAAAAGGCGAAACGCTTTCGAACTTTGGTGAAGAAACAAGAGCATCTTCTTCGAGTTGCGTTTTATCTTTTGCTAAATATCGCCGAAGATGAAAGTATTGAAGAGAAAATGACCAAGAGGAATATTGTGGGGTTGTTGGTCAAGGCTTTGGAGAGGGAGAATGAGGAATTGCTGGTTTTGGTGGTGACGTTTTTGAAAAAATTGTCGATTATGCAATGTAATAAGGATGTAATGGCCGGGATGAATATCGTGGAGAAGTTACCGAAATTGTTGGACTCAAACAGTCCAGATTTGGTGCATTTGACGTTAAAATTGTTATTTAATTTGTCGTTTGATTCAAAACTGAGGTACAAAATCGTCAAAATTGGACTCTTACCGAAGTTTATAAGTTTATTAAGTGAGTTGTTGGGTAGTAGAGTTGCATTGTAATTTCTTGACGTATTTTAAGGCGATGATCGTCATCAAGAGATTGTTTTAAAATTACTCTACCATTTGAGTTATGACGATGACGTCAAAACACAATTTGCTGAATGTGTGGGTTTGGTAACACTGTTACTTTAAAAATAGTATTTTTTGTAATTGAATTGTTTCAAGATAACTGACATGCTTTTACTTAATATTGGAAATGAGGGTGACGAAGTTATGGTCGCACTTTGTATTAATTTGGCGACAGATCCGACAAATGCTCAACAGATGATGAAAAAAAATCGCGTCCAATCACTAATGATGAGGGCTTTTAATTATCAAGATAACATGTTGATGAAAATGTTGAGAAATTTATCAGAGCATAAATCATCGAAAGTTAATTTCGTTGTATGTAACACCGTGTAAAAATGCACGATTTAAATATTTTTTTAGGAATTTGTAGGTGACATTGCAAAGGCTGTAGTCGAATCAAAAGAAGACGATTTCGTAGTCGAATGTGTCGGGATTTTAAGCAATCTTAGTTTACCCGAGTTGGACTGGGCAGAAATATTCAAACATTTCGATATGTTAAAATGGATTGAAAAAGTGATTCGTAACAATAACACCGACCCCGAGTTGGTCTTACAAGTAGTAACAACAAAATTAAAAATTTTCAAATAATATTTTTGGATAGGTCGTAGTTTTATTAGGTACGGCAGCCGCTGACGAAGGTTGTGCGAAACTCCTCTGCGACTCGAACATAATTTCGGCTTTGATCGAGCTCCTGAAGACGCATCAAGAAGACGACGAAATCGTTCTCCAAATTATTTTTGTTTTTTTCGCGACCATTTCTCACGGGACAAATATCGATTATCTAGCGGAAAAAACTGAAGCTCCGGCCTATTTGATCGATTTGCTCCAAGACAATAACAAGTCCATAAGAAAACTGTGTAATACTTGTCTTAATATAATCGCCGAGTATAGTAAAACTTGGGCGGAGAGGATTAAAATTGAGAAATTTAGACACCATAATGCGCAGTGGTTGCAAATGGTCGATTCGCAGCAATTGGGGCCGGAGGATGATGACGAGGAAGATGTCTTGCCGCCGTATTTAAATACGGAATTTTTGGGAACGGCTGTGGTTCCGCCTTTGTCAGGTTGGTGAAAATTTCGAGTATTTGAAGTGGTAATTCTTGTCCGTAGATTTAAATGAAACTGCACAAGAATCGGAGTTTATCTCACAAAAAGATATCGATTTTGACTATTTTGATAGACCAGAGTAAGTTGGGTAAGATTTAAAGAGTGAGTTTCATGATGTTAATTTTTTTGCAGGGTCATTCCGGATTTTGAAATTGAAGCGATTTAATTGTTTTATTTGCTTGAGCACAAGTGATATTCAGCTTCTAGTCATATTTTTTCTTGTTAATTTCTTATAATTGATAGTACTTCCAAGTCGTTACTTAATTTGTTTAATTTTTTATTTGAATAAAACCACGTTCGTATACATAACTGCTTTTATTTCAATACTAATACAGAAGCCATCCGAAATTATGAAATTAAAAAAACCGTATGACGAGACACTTTATTAATAAACATAACTAAGTTTACGAACTTAAAATTTGATATAAATAAGAAATTCTTAAAAACTATTATCTACAATAATACTAATAACATGTATGCACCCGAACAGGATTGGCACAACAAATAAAAGGTGCAAAAGTTAAAAGTAACCCAAGCAAGAAGACTAGTGATTTACCGAAAGAAAAGAAAAATCTTTGAGCATGAAAAAAGTGTGAATTTTTTTAAGACATACATACTTCGTGTCCATGAAACATGAAAATGAGATTATATACAAGATTATCACTTTAGCTTATTCAAAATAAGTTATAAATCATCACAATATTCATGACAAAAATATAAACAACTTATAAAAACAATTTTATTAAACTGAAATTCGTACTAAATATTAAACGAAACAATCAACCCATGATCACACAAAACCGAAATTCTTTGTTTTGATGGCAAGTAATAATTTCTGTCTAAGAACTGCGCGACTACTATAAAGGGGAATATATAAACGTGATATACAAGTATTTGCTGTTGGTAAATGTGCGTCATCTGCTGGTCTTATCGTCACCGAAGGCATAGGCTGAAAACCGTCCTCGCTTGCCGGAAGTGCCGGAGAACCCGTCCAGAAATAAACCTAAACGAAATCATCAGCAAACCGCCCGGACGGACCGCAGACTAAACAACAACTTACCAAATCTTGTCTTTCCAAGTGCGTCATTTTTTCAACAATTGACCAAAGCCAACGTTTGAATTTTACTAAACGTTCACTGTTTTCCCCAGACTCATCATTGAACGACGTATACGATATTAAAACTGCTACATTGATGTCTCCCACACCGTTCAACAAAAGACGAAGATCTTCAGCTGTCAAACTATCCAAAGAACCTTCAGGCAAAACATCAAGAACTCCAGTACGGATACTTTCAATCGCTTTTTCTTGCACTTTAATCATTCGATATTTGGCGTATTTCCGGACGTAGTCGTAGACGTTGCTCGAGCTCACTTCAATGTCTTTACCATTTGGCATTAATTCAACAGTACCGCCACCTTCCTCCGGACTTAAATCAATCCTAAAATGTGATTGGGGATTTTAGGATATAAAATGTACAGCGTGCTGCATTTTGGATGTCCGAATAGGGAATCTCCGAAACTAAGAGGTTTAGCCAAAAACGAGTAATACATTCTGGGGCTCATTTTTTGAGAAAATAATATTGGTTAAAACCGCATCCCGCTATCGTCTTTTGTTTTCGACTTATAGACAAAAATTGACATTTTAGCGAAATCTAAAAAATTCATATCTTCGTTATTGTAGAAGACACAGATTTGAAATAAAGACATTATACAGGCACTTTTTTACGTAGAATTTAATAATGTAGTTAACAATTTTTTTCAGTTGTTTGTTTAGCCGTAATAAAATAAACTTGTATTTTTTTAAATGGGCATCATAGATGGCTATGTCATTTTTAAACAGCTTGTTTTTTTCTTATCTAAAAAATATATAAAATATATAACAAATTATTATAATACATTTTTAGCAAAAAATTATCTTTGATTTTTGTTCGCAGTTGGCCATGAAAAAATGTTGCATCTTCAACTAAAAGGATTTAAACTATATTATATTCAACCAGTGTCACTAATGAAAGAGTTTTCTAAGTACTAAGTAATGAAAAAAATGCAAAATAAATTGTAAATCAACTTATTGGCGACTAATAACATTTCTTTGTTTTTAAACAAGCTATCATTACCATTGTAATTTCTAGTGATACATAGTGTTGTAAAAAAAAGCCGCTTTAATTCTTCAATAAAATATATTTTATATGACACAAAAATGACGATATGGCTATTCAAATACCCAAATTCCGTCTATGTGAAACGTTATTCTACCTCCATTAGATCATCAAAAAAAATGTTTTTTGTAATTGTGTTGACTATTGACACATTTGTTTTTCCTATTTTTTGATTTTTTAAAAATATGTAATAATTTTGTTCTGGGGCGCTCGGATATTTGTTCAATGCTTCTACCGTATCGTATTTTTTAAATCTTTATAATTTTATCTATTTTTCTATCTATTTTACAGTTCACAAAACTCTTATTGATTATTATTTACACATTTGGAGTGAAATAGTTTTTCCATGGTCAACAATTATCACAAAAAATATGTATTTCACTTTTTAAGTATAGTTATAAAAAAATATTTTGTTACAAATATATATTTTTTAGATCAGAAAAAAAAATTGCCATAGCCGCCTATGATTTCCTTTTAAAAAAATACAAGTTTATCTTATTACGGCTAAACTAATAACTGAAAAAAATTGTTAACTACATTATTAAATTCCTCGTTGAAAAGTGCCTATATAATGCCTTTGTTTCCAATCTGTATCTTCTATAATAACAAAGATATAATTTTTTTTAGATTTCGCCAAAATGTCAACTTTTGTCTGTAAGTCGAAAACAAAAGACGATAGCGCGATGCGGTTTTAACCAATATTATTTTCTGAAAAAATGAGCCCCAGAATGTATAACTCGTTTTTGGTTAAACCTCTTAGTTTCGGAGATTCCCTATTCGGACATCCAAAATGCAGCACCCTGTATAAATCACAAAATTTCAACTTACGTGAAATTGAGTTCAAGTGTTGAAAACAAATTATTACAATCTTTTGTTTCGGCATCCACCACTAATTGTCTCAAAGACTCGTAAACGACTGGATCAAAAAACGCAAAATCATGAAACTTGATCGGTCTCGCTAAAATTGATTTTAAAACATGTCTCGTCAAGAAAATCGGACAAAGTTCATTTTGTAAAAGACACAATCCAATCAATCTCCCTACGTTTCTAAACGCATTCAATCTTTCAAACGTTGCTTTGCCTTGTCGAGGTGCATAAAAACCTCTCTTTCCTGGACAATAAAACAACGGCGCATTATCCTCTTCATCTTGCACGTTTTCTTCAACCACTGAACTATCATTTCCGCTTGAACGTCCTGAAACTTTTCTAGAACTCGAACTTCGATCAGTCAACGTAAAAACATCCAATTCGAGTAAAGCTTCCGAAGTCAATTCTTGTTGGGAATGTAAATGTGCTAAAATCATCTCAACTGCCTCTTCCACTTTCGCTCTCAACGAATCTTCGGACGCTAAAAGAAGCAACAATTGAGCTGGTGATAACTCCACAAGCATTCCGGTGATTCTTGCAGCGAAATTCGGATGTAAATTGTACACTTTGGGATACAAACGATCACCTAGTTGTTGTTGGTGTGATGAGAATTGTTCGTTACGACTTGATCCCGATTGATTTCCTGTGGGATTCCCTGATGTTGATAAATCGGGCATCGACGGTGCATCCGAATGAAAATTATCACTGGGGACAAACGGTCTCGCCTCTACGTTCATCGTACGACGATGTTCACGTGATCGATTTGAACCACGCATAGGGACGGTTCGACGCAACACATCTCTATCACGTCGTAATCGTTGCAAAACACTGTATTGAGTGTACTTATTATCGACTTGAGCCGACTCCAAATTCGGAAGCTTCTCATTGGATAAAATCGCTTCAGCAATCGCAGTATAAAAACTACGTGCAACACCAGAACCTTCACCAGGCTCATCCTTGAAAGTCACTTTCACACGATTTACCGCAAGAGGGGGCGACGATGAATTACGACGATTGTAGTTGTTGTATTGAGTGTTCAATTCTTTAAATGTCATCAAAAGAAGTTGAGTGCGATCTCTTTCCATCTACGGGGAAAAATCAAATCAATTGAAATTAAAATTTCAAAAAAATACCTTTGAAAGAGTCAAATCTTTTTGTTGGTTGTTGCGCAATTTCTCCATATCTCGACGAAATTTGGCTTCTTTAACTGGAAATCCACCCAATTCGGAAACTATAGAACCCGGTTCTAATCCAACGTCTTCCATGAAAACACGACCGAATAGATCGAGAGAAAGTCTCCAACGACCCAATAATAAATCGTGTGATACAGATTGGCCAATAGTCGGACGTAAAACTTCAGTATTGACACTCGGAGTTGTTACAACAGTCACATTGGCTGATATTTCTTGATTTTCTAACGTTTCCGGTTGTTGAGAATCGACTGACATCATCACGTTCGAATCGTTTGATTTTTGTTGATTACCCTACAAAAAAAACACATTCAGTTTCTGAGTTTTCTTTGTTTTTTTTTTTAAATGTATGCCCCGTATCTGTCCTTGGTTCAAAGCTCGACAAACCAAAGTCATCAGAGAGCAATTTATTCTAGGACCTGAGAGTGATACGCCAATTAGATTTAAACTTGAGCGTACGTATCGTAGGTCCCTTATACACAAGGCGACAAAAAAAAGTCATGGCGTGACAACTTGACAAATTTTATATCATTTTGTACGTCTCAGTAAGACAAATCATCAAGTGCACTAAAAAAATTTCAAAAAGTCCACGCACTTTGAACTAAATAATTTTTTTCTAATTTAAATGAATTTAAAATACTTTAAATTTAAAAAATAATTACTCAATAACTATTACGCCGATTTCCTTCAAATAAAGACCATTCTAAAGAGATGGCCTTGCCCTTTAGAATGATATAAAATTTGAAATTGAATATTGGCAACTTTTCTTCGAACAGTGTTCGAAGAAGTTCGAAGTAAATCGAAGTAATCTAAGAAAAACCCTACGAGTAATTTTTTTCTTCGTCACCATCGTGTAGAGCATCTTTTTATTAGTAAGAATCCAGATTTTTAAAATAATATACGGAGTAGTTCTTAAGATATGAATTTTTGAAGTTAAAGTTTGCTATTCTGCTATTGCGCCATATAGGAGAAATGCATGTTAATCTTACTTAAAACTGCATTTTCATATTGTTTTAAGGCTCTTCTTTTGCTTAAAAATGGTCAATTGCACCTTCTTTGTTCTAATTAGAATAAACAAAAATTGTTTCTTTACTTAAAACAAACAAAAAGTACCTGCGTACTAATTAAAGCAAATAAAGTGTTTTTTTGTTCTAAAAATGATCACTGATCATTGAGCAAAAAGGATCTAGAAGTTTAAAACAGTAGCTTTAAATATAAGAAGAAATCTTTTTCAAATTAAATGACTTTCCATTCAGATTTCAACTCGTTCACTTTGTTCTAGCTTTCTGAACTTTTTTTGAAAATGTTCTCAGCAAATGCTTTTTCATCACTTTCTACTGATGTTGAATGCAATAAGTCAGTTGCTTCGTGTGCAACTGTTATCACAACAACTACTACCTACAACCTAACTGAAGCTAATCATAGAATGTACCAACAAAATAAATCAGGTGACTTATTGCATTTAACATCACTCGAAAGTGATGAGAAAGCATTTGCTAAGAACATTTTCAAAAAAAGTTCAGAAAGCTAGAACAAAGTGAACAAGTCGAAATCTGAATGGAAAGTGATTTGATTTGAAAAAGATTTGCCTTTATATTTAAGACTCGTGTCTTAAACTTCTAGATCCTCTTTGCTCAATGATCAGTGGTCATTTTTACAACAAAAAAAACTCTTTATTTGCTTTAATTAGTACGCAGGTACTCTTTATTTGTGTTAAGTAAAGAAACAGTTTTTGTTTATGCTAATTAGAACAAAGAAGATGCAATTGACCATTTTTAAGTAAAAGAAGAGTCTTAAAACAAATACTTCTATAAAAATGCACTTTTAAGTAAGATTAACATGCATTTCTCCTATATGGAGCAATGCTTGATTATCAAACCATAACTTCAAAAAATCGTATTTTGAAAACTACTCGGTATATTTTTTTGAAAATTTGGATTACAACTAATAAAGAGATGCTCTAGACGATGGTAATGATGAAAAAAAAATACTCGTAGGGTTTTTCTTAGATTACTTCGATTTACTTCGAACTTCTTCGAACACTGTTCGAAGAAAAGTTTGCCAATATTCAATTTCAAATTTTATCTCATTCTAAAGGGCAAGGCCATCTCTTTAGAATGGTCTTTATTTGAAGGAAATCAGCGTAATAGTTATTGAGTAATTATTTTGAGTTATTAGTAATTATTTAGTTAAAGTATTTTAAATTCATTTAAATTATAAAAAAAATTATTTTGTTCAAAGTGTGTGGACTTTTAAAATTTCTTTTTTAGTGCTTTGATTTGTCTCACTGAGACGAACAAAATGACATAAAATTTGTCAAGTTGTCACGATATGACTTTTTTTTGTCGCCTTGTGTAGTATATTTCTCCTACAACTTACCATTGATGATCCTGCTCGAACTATGACACTCTTGCTTGGACTTCTAGATGAAGGAGTCGATGACCCGCTATTATAATCTTGCATGGCTTCATTCGATCCATTTATTCCTTCTTGTTCCTGATGCGAAGCTTCTAAACCGAAAGTTTTTCGCGGCGAAACAATAATTTGAGGCCTAGACGTTGGCACTTCATTATGTCGTGATGATAAATCATGTGGTGTGTTATCTTTGTTATTTTCACCGATTTCGTTTTTAACAGCGGCGAGGAGACTCTCAAACGTTTGCAAGTTTTTATTTTTAGGATGAGTGTCGTCGGATGTTGATGGTTCATTGGAGGAGGAGGTTTCAGTTTGGACATGAACTTCTCGAGCATTTGTTTCCGTTTCAGGATTGTAATTTTGAGGATAAATTAACGGATTTGGACCCATGACGTTTAACGATTGCGAAATTGGATGATTGGCTTTGGCCGGTTGACTCATTGCAAAATCTGTTGTTCGAGTCGAAAGACTCAATTTCGTCGGAAGCGATTCAAGAGGATTGTTAGAAACGTTTCCAGTTGAGGCTAAAGTGATTGGTTGTTTGGGAATTCCAAACAAGTCTTCTCTTCTCGCATTGGGTTGTAGAAGATGTGGTTGGTCGGCCAATGGTAGTGCTTCAGCCATTGGTGTTTCAAACGGATCTGGTGGAGGACACCCCAGACACAAAGTAGATTCAGATCGTTGGAAAAACGAATGTTTGCGACCTTTCCCCGAACCACCTTGCAAACTCGACGAATTTAAAGTACTCGAAATCGTCGCTAGATTAGAAACATCTTGATCTTCCAAACTTTCCGTTTCCATTGCCACAGCTATATCTTCTTCAGCTTCTTCGTTTTCATTCTCATCTTGATCATTCCACAACGGAAGCGAAAAACCATCACGACGTAAATCAGTCTCGTTACGGTCTGATGATCCCGATCTCATAAAATAAATAAGAGCATCGAAAACATAAGCAACATGTTTTAAAGCAGAAACGTCCAAAATCGGTAAAGAATCCAAATGTTCGTTATTGTGAGCTCGCATCAATGACAAACAATACGAAAGAAATTCTCTTCGGGCCGCATGAGCATCCACACCATCACGTTCGGGTCGAGTTCGACTTTCTACGTTTGAGGTAAAACCAACCAATCGTGTACCAGAACTACTGGAAATGGTATGACCGCGATGACCACTCGATCGAAGACTGTTGGAACTGTTTGCAGAAACTCCAGTCGTAATTCCGGTATTGAGAGGATGACCTGGACTCGAAAGATCAAGAGAGTTGGTTAGAGACGCCCCGAATTTCAATTGGGCCTCAGTGGCGTCCATCACGGTCAAAAGCCAATCCCAAGTCGGCTTCAGGCGGAATTCCAAATAAATCTACAAACCGAAATTAGCTTTTTATTTATAGTCCAGTCAAATTAGACAAAAATAGGGCGATTGGTGGAAAAAAATCCTAGAGTTGGAATTTTTTTTAAACGCTTTCTTTATTCTTGGGTAGACATATGTCAAAAGTCCCCGAAGGTGGGGGGCGAGCTCTAGGAGGGGGAGGGGGCTAAAGGTGTCTTTTTTTGTTTTTTTTGCTTATATCTCGGAAACTATTACTCCTAACGGTTTTTGCCTGCTTATCAAAGTCTACAAAATTTTCTACAAAAATGGTCCTTCGCATTTTTGTTTAAAAAAAATATGCTTTATTTGCATTTAAAACAGAATTAATCTTGTGATTTGAAAAAACTGAAAGCAATTTGAATTTATTGGGTGCAACATTTCATTAGAGAGTCTATAAAGTCTTCCGAGTCGTCCTCATATGCTGCATCTTCGTCTTCAGCTTAAACATTGAAAACCGAATTACAGTCTTGTTCAGTACAATATTAATAAATAGATGATTTAATATCGATGATTTGAATAAAGCTTACAGTAAATTGAATGTATTGGATCCAACAGTTTATTAGAGGGTGGCACGAGGGTCTATTAAGTCTTCCGAGTCATCCTTATATGCTGAACTAGCATTTGCCTGCGATTTTGTCCGCGTATATTTCTGATATAATATGGGAAAAAGCCCTTCACAAACCCATTCCATAGGCTTAGGTAGTCTATAAAGCTAGATAATTACCTATGTTATGTATAGGATTCAGTTATAGTAGTCTCGTTCTTCGCATGGGCTATGTTTATAAATAAATATTAAATGTTGATTTTCATAAAGTGTCGTCTCAGTGCACTTCTGCACTCTCAAAATTCGAAATTTCATGTTTCTAATTTTGTTTTGAAGCGTTTAAACTCTATTTTATTTCATTAAAATTTGAAAAGTGCATTTCTACACTCTCTAAGGATAATATTTTCTAAATTTAATGTTTTTATATCCCTTTAAATGTGTACACGTTTTATTCCCTTAAAAACTAATTTTCGAAAAATCTGATTTTAGTGCCCCTTTACACCTTTAAAGAATTTTATGTTTATATCTTTGTTTAAACATTTACACCCCATTTAACCCCCTTACAGATTGATTCTCTCTTTCATCCAAGATTTTTATTTATATCTCCGTTTAAATGTTTACACCCGAGTCACCTTTCAGCCAGACCGCTTAGTTGGGGAACGCTCTACACATATAAATACTTACCATATCCTAATGAAATGTGTTTCAAAGGATTTTTAATGCAATTTTATGTAGACTCCAAACTTTTGAAGCCTACGGTTAGTCCTACGACAAAAATGAATAGGACCATTTTTGTAGGAAATTTTGATGTAGAAATAAACATCTACAGAAAATTCTGCATAAATTACATAAACGTTGAGTTTGTATTTATAGACCCTCGTGACTCCCCCTTCCTTTAATGAAGTATTGGACCCAGTAAATTCAATTTACTGTCAGTTTTTTTTTTAATTACAAGACTAATTATGTTTCAAATCCAGATAAAGCCAATTTTTTTAAATGATGTTTTTTTTCCTGCCCTATAACTCGCTTACGGTTAGTCCTACAACAAAAATGCAAAGGACCATTTTTGCAGGAAATTTTGTAAGCTTTAATTTTGATAAGAAGATAAAAACCTATAGGAGTGATAATTTCCGAGATATAAGCAAAAAACCAAAAACTCTCCTCGAGCTCGCCTCCCACCTTCGGGGCCTTTTGATATATGTTTACCCAAGTGTAAAGTAAGCATTTAAAAAAATACCAACACTCGAGGATTTTTTTCCACCGATTTGTCTAATTTCACTGGGCTATTAAAAAAATTGCAAAACTCACTTGTATGTTGTAGATATCATCTTGTGATACTTCCATGTGTGCAACAGTCGACAAAGCTTGATTCAAATCGGGTAGTGAGGACAACAAATCGGTAATTTGACGTATAATAGCGCCTGAAACGATAAATAAATTTAAAAAAAATACAGTAGTGGTGAATTTAAACTTACCGAAAGCCCTAGCTAAGGAACTGGCCGATGTGGACATGGCCACTGGTTCTGAACTCGCAGCAACAGCCGTACTTCCTGTCGTAGAACGTCTTAACGTACTGGGATCAATAAAAACTAAATTAGAACCGTTGGCCAATCGAACACCTGCTGATCTGCTTGCTTCACGTGACCGTATTGCCCATTGCATATTCTGCGGGGCCAAATTGCTCCGCTGTCCATGACCAGTCGTATTGCTGTAACGGCTTCTTTCATAGACAATAATCAGAGTAATGAGAAAACACAAAAACATCACTAAATCAAGAGCCAATAATCATAATAAAATAATTTATATGAATTCAATGTAGAGGTCATAGAAACCAAGAAGGATATCGATGGAAGGGATGCGCAGAGACGAACACTGGTCGCAGACGAATCCATTCGTAAATATAGGGGAGTTATGAAATCAGCTGAGAGCAGTGGCGTGCGTGTATTCGCACTTATTTCTTTGAACAAAACAAATAATCCAAATACTGTAATGAAAATATTTTGATTTTATTACTTTATTACTAAATAACATTTTTAAGGCATTTGTTCTTTTATAAAGAATTGCAATACTCAGTAACCATTTAAAAAAGTTTTTAGAAATTGTTCACAAGGTTCAAATTATTACACTGGCGAACACGGAATTTTGGACATCAAATTTATGTCAGTTCAAAAAATGTCAATGTAAGTCACGCTTCATTGTCATCATGATTGACATTTGAAACTAAAAGTTGAAAGTTTCAATTGGAATTTAATTTTGGCGTCAATTTTCCGAAATAATAATGCCAGCAAAACGTATTTTTAATAATATTTTTATTTAATAGTATTTTTTCTCTAGCTGTCAGGATAAAAATTACAAAAACCGAAAGTGAGGTTGTTTAAGTTCCGTTTTACATTTTTATGTCAGTCAAATGACAAATCGTCCAAAATTCCGTGCCCCCAGTGTATTAAAATTCTTACATCTTATTGACTAGATATGAAAACAAAACATCACTAAAAATGTTTAATACCGGGTGGGGCATCGGTTACGGGCACTTGATAAATCGCAACTTCGAATTAATTAAAACTGGCGATATTTCATATACCTAACTAATTATTGATAGGGTATAATTTGAGAATTTTTCTAATTTTTTTGGATAATAAATGAGTCCGTAACAGTTTTGTGTGTTTTATGAATACTTTCTGTTAATTTACCTATAAAGTTTTTACACTAAATTAATGTGTACCTGTCAGCGCATCAAACTTTGATATCACAATTTAAAATTTTGACTTGGTTAGCCAAATAATCGCTTTTTTTTTATTTAAACACAAACCAGACCCGTGATTTATGACAAAATGGTATAATTTGCCAACAAAAGAATCATTTACTGGTAGCCGACCGCTTTAAAGGGTCTTTTTGTTGTAAACCATGGAATCTTACCCCAATTGGAGTTCCCCATTGTCACCTAAATTTACGATGGCACAAGTAGCAGGTCATAAATAAAAATGATTTTCGAAGTTAAGATGGGAAATTGCGTTTAATTCAAAATCTAATTGGAATTTTTTTTCTGATTTTGTAAACAATTGAAGGAAGTGAATCTGCGTAGGTCAGTATAAAAATTAGAATTAAACTTTTTGGGAGAAAATTACTTTTTTTTTTTTTTTTTGGATTTGCTTGTAAATGAAAAATTACCAAAAAATTAGAGAAAGTACCTTACTAATGCCCAGGTAAGTGTGAAAAATTCAACAATTTTATTTAATTAGAAGTGGGGATTTCTTTTCTGCGCGTAACCGGTGCCCCTCCCGGTATACCTACTTATTAACAGGGGCATCTTATAAATGTTAACTTTGAAAAATTAATTAAAATTAATTATGATACAAATATTGCTTTTTAATATATTTATATTTTTAATAAACGAATCTATTCGTTACTTTTGTTCGTCCTTTATTTCTACAGAAATTAATATCACCGTATATTTGAAATAATCGTGAAGTATCGAATTAATTTTTTTACATTTAATATCTCAGTCAATGAATATACGAAAAAAAATGCAACTCCACAATTCCCTTTTTATCACAGAATGGTTCTGTGTTACGCCACTGTTCAAGTTTCCCCACTAGGCTCCGCCTATCGATATCCTTCTTGATTTCTATGAGCTTTAAAACAAAAATAATAAATGAGCAAAATTCACCTTCGACGTTCCAATTGTTCATCGGTCAATGTATAATCTTCAGTATCTTGTTCGTCAGTTTCTCCCGCTTCACTCTCTTCCTCTTCCTGTTGACTCGACTCGCCGCTTTCATCTTCCGGGAACAGCAGCATACCTCCTGATAAGTTACACAGAATTGCATACACATGCAACCAATCACTCGCTCACACTCTCTCTCGCTCAACCAATCAGAATTTAACTTACCGGTATCAGAGCCGGCTGTTGCTCCCGTCTGTACCGATCTCTGTGCAGATGCCGCATCTTGATTACTATGATTATCATCACTATCCGACTCCGTCTCGGCTAGTAAATCCAATTCGGGATCGCTTTCTTCACCCTGGATACGACTTTCCTGCTGATATGGTGGTGCTTCAACAGTTTCATTTTCATTAGTCGATGATTGCCGAACAGTGATCGGTAATTCACGATCAGCGGGGACATCCTCATGTTCGGACGCATTATCATCATCATTATCAATCGCCATACTTTCCCCATCATTTAGATTCAACAAATCACGTGCGTTTGCTAGATCACGTGCATTCGCAGCCGCTCTTCGTACAGCTTCGGCCAAAAACGGAAACCGAGGCATAGAAGAAGGACCTGAAGAACGCGAACTTGACGGTGCTAAAGGATCCACTAGGAATAACTCTTCTGATCCGTTTAGCACATCATTTACTGAAGTTGCAAGAGAGAAGGGGGCTGTAGGTCGCGCTACTCCTAATCGAACCGGTGCCATAATAGCATCTGCACTTTCGCACAACTCCTCAATCGATAATTTACTCAACGCTTGAAAGATTTTGCGACATTTAGTCAATGGTTGGTTTTGGTTACTTAGACTTCGTCTTTTTGTCGCATTCGGGGCCATTTCAATTGAAAAAACAACGAAAATACGCACAACAGAACGGACGAAACGTCGCGATACCATTGTCGCGTATTGTGCTTGTTTCAGATCGGGATTTTTCATTTCTCTGATTAGCGTTTCGAGAAGTACGTCAATGACCATTTGACATTTAACGAGGAAACACAATGAGAATTTATCTAAAAGTGCTGTTCCTGTCTGTTTGGAAACGTAAGGTTGATCGGTGAATTGTGTTTCAGAGACGTCTCTAGTGCCCGACATTATCATACTTTGAACGGCTTTCCAATCGCCTAAAAGACATTCCAAAGCTCGTCGACTGAATCTGGGAGGCTCTAAATCGTGCTCTGGCATATCGGTCTCAACTGAAACAGAACGAGAATACAAAAACGGACAGTTAATACGAGTTAAATAAGTGTAAAGAGTCTCACTATCTGAAGAAGGTGTTTTATTTCGAGAGTTAGCCGATGCCGTCCTTGGTCTGGTATGACGAAACTGTCTTTGTTCTTGATTTTGTCGACCAACAGTTTGGACCAAAAATAATAAAATACTTTCGCCGCGTGAATTTGGTAAACAAACAAGATCTGTTTCTTTAACCAAACGTGTCAAAAGTTCGTATCGAACTGTTTGATTTCCCATAATCAATGCTTTACATTTACATTTCTCCCAACAATCGCAGTAAGCCGTTGGTGAGGTTCTCTTTAATTTGCAATCGTGGCCTTTATGACAAACTCTTGCACATTCAGTACAACAACAAAGCGTTCCGGTGAGACCACAAGTGCGACATTCAAATATATCCTAAAATTACAATTACAGAAATCTAGAATACCGACACTTGTAATTCTTACTTGATTGATGTGTTCCGCACCAGTCCACGTAAAACTACACGTGTCATTACAACAGAGAACATGTAGAGGTGAATGATCCGGATTTGAACCTTTGGGAAAGATCATCTCTTCGCGTTCTTGAGGAGTCCCCAATTTTATAATTCTTTCAAAGATTTCTAACGCAGCTGGATAACTTCGCGACGATACTGCCAACATAAACGGAGTCTGACCTTGTGCATCCCTAAATATTAATTTCAATTATTAATTAGTTCAACTTCAAAAAGAAGAAAATACTTTGCACATAAAAGTTCAATGAGATGTGGTTCCAGAGCTGATGAATCGTACAAAAGTGCGTGTAAGATTTGCATAGCGTTCGATCGTCTCTCAATTGGATCGACAATAAGATTCGTTGGTGCATTACTGTTATTTCCACTTCCTTTATTATTGGCAGCACTGCTTCCCAAACCCATTAAACTATCTTCATCGCCTGAGGTGACATCAAAGGTTTCAGGGGGCCAACTATGCGTCGGTATCGGTTCCTCTTGAACGAAACTGTGCTGATCTGCAGAGTTAGAATTGTTGAGTGCGCGTTCGTTACGTACTACAACCGCTCTACGCATCATATCGCGTAGCGTAACTGATCGAGAGTCTACGGCGTTTGTTATCACATTGATACATTCCAGGCCTGGAGACGGGTCTGGAAATGACAGTCCAAAAACTGATAATAGTGAAAAAATCGTGTGCAAAAACACCGCTACCCTACGCGACTCATTAACACCGAATTTTCAATGAAATTACAAAAACATTAAAGGAGAGATCAACTTTCAAAATACAATTTTTTTATGATTCGTAACAAAAATTTGAAATTCTTGGAGTACAATGACGAAAGAATTTTTTCAAAATCTTAAAAATTGAGTGAAATATAATTATTTTGATAATTTGATGAATGAAGTGATGACACTTCAGCCCAATTCAACGTCGGGCGGGCAGCACCAAATGATATATCCCTTGCAACCGATATTGTAACTAGTTGAGATCTGTTACAAAAAGTTACAATTTCTTTGGACAATAAATAACAAATGTGACGGTTTATTACAAATAAATAAATACATTGGCCGCCACAATTAACCGGACAACCAGAGTTTTGCGATTATTCAACAGAGATAAAATTAAGTTTTAACTTATTTCAGATTATTGCCCGTTCTTTTCTGAATAAGGACAAATTTGTTTCAAAATTTTATCTTTTGGTGCCCCAGAGATACAAAAAAGACGTTGCTTTTCTAATGTTACTAAATATTCGTACAGAAAGTAGGCTACATAAAAAGTTGTTAAAATTATTGCTTATGTCACCAAAAGAGCAAAATTACGTCTTTGAACACAAAAAATCTGAAAAACTTAAGACTTCAAATTATTACAAGTAAAACGGTTAATTATTGGAAGCCTATTTTAGCAAATTCGGCCTACTTAATACGAACATTCATTGAAATTGGAAATGTAAGGTTTTTTTTAAACGTTTATATCTCTCATGTCTCAAGAATTAAAATTATGGAAAATGTGGTACACATTCAGAAAAGAATGGGCAATAATCTGAAATCAGTAAAAACTTGAGTTTGTCTCTGTCGCACACCACAGCTCAGTACATAAATAAGTAAAAAAACTGTGTCTTCGTCTTTTAAGTATCACAATTACAAGACAAAACTAGAAATGTTATTGAATTAAATTACAACGATCTACAAAGTTCAAACAATATCTAAACATTTCTTCACTTGTAGACAATTCTATTTCATTCTTGGCGTATTGCATTATTTTATTTGTTAATTTGCTATTTCAATTGTATACGTCTTTTTTTAACCACTATTTTGTCGATTTTGAGAAATTGTAGTACGAATGCTTCAAAAATTTTTTGCTATTTGCATTGTCCTGATCAATATCACATTGAATGATATGAGAAATGTAGCCTTTTTGGAGCATACTTCAAACGACTATTGCGATAACTTTCTAAACAGCCAGTATGGCAATAATTTTTTATGCGGCCTAAATCATTTAAAAATTGTTTATTCAAAACCACCGACACAATAAAACTTTGTTAACGAAGTAAATCATTGTGTTCTTTGAAATCATTCATCTATTAAGGGAAATTATCGAAAAAAAAAGCTGTTGGATGGAGTTGGGCTGGAGTGACGTCACAGCAGTTTCACAAAATATTTAATTTTGAAGCTCCCAGCCTAAATATTTCGAATTTAATTTCCCAAATGTTCATGTTTTATTACATTGCGTTTATTAGATAAATAAAAAAAAGCATTTTGAAAGTTGATCTCTCCTTTAAACCAACTCACCGCTTTCAGTTTCCTTGTTCGACGTCGGCGTACACATATTCACTACAGCGTGAAAAATGTTACGATTACCGTCACAACGCTCATTTAGTATATTCGAAACTGAAGAAACGTTAGTTTCTGAAAGTTTCATTTTAAGTCAATAAAGTAAAAATTACACAAAACTTACTCAAATCGCTGTCTAATTGTGCCAAAACTTGTCTGACTCCATCAATATCACAACGTAGAATTTTCGGCATGAGTAATTGTTGTTCGAGTGCGAAAACAACAATAGCCACTTGATTTTTCATGTTGAGACCAGTTCCACTTAAACCGAATGTACCAGCTGTTAAACATTTAACTGGTGGTAAATCTAAACATTGCGGATCACGAATTGCATCGGCACAATCTTTACTTAGAGGATAAATTGTACTGTTGCCGTCTCGCAAAACCAAAATTGTTTCAGAACTCTATGACAAAAAAAAAACAATTATAAAATAGTAACAACCAATATAAAAAACCTACTTCTCCGGCACAAATCAAGTTGATCAAATTTGGATAAAGCCCCATAAATGACGCAGTATCGCTCGGAAAAGGATTATCTTGTTCAATTCTTCCACTACTGACGTTGTAAACAACATAACTTAGTTTATTTCCGTTCCGAACAATGGCATGTATGCCTTGTCCATCAACGGCAATCGTTAAAATTTGATTACTATTGTCGGAAATTTGGATACGTCGTGGGGTTTTTTGGAAACAGTCAGGGACGCGCGAATTAGACGATGATTTAATCACCTAGAAAACGTAATTTAACGATTTTTAACAAAACTAAGAGCTGTCTGACACGAGACTAATTTCAGTACTGAAATTGCGCGCGAAAATTTAGTATCGAAATTAGTTGAAGTTATTAGAAGCCTATGAACATGCGTGTTGATCTTGCTAAAGACCGAGGAGACTGTAAGTTGTCAATTTTAAGCACTAATATTATAGCGGGACATTCAATTCCATACAACCCTGAAAAAATATTACAGTTATTTCATCTGAAAGTATTCTTAAATGAGTTATATAAAATTTAAAGCCAAGTTTAACAGTTGCAAATAATTCTCTTCAATTAAAGAGATCGAAAAATGTTAAGATTTACAACAAATACAGTCAAGAAATTATAGAGAATAAAATTTTCTTGAAGAGAATGTTCCAGAGAATTTTATCTCCAATCGTTTTTGAACGTTGAAATAGGCTAAATGGGCATTGTATTTTAATGTCTGGTATTAAAAAAACTACACTAGTTGGCTTTAAAAAATAAATATTTTGAAGTTCTTTATGTAACATGTATCTGAAATTCCATTTAATTGAGGAAACTATTTAACAAATGTTGAGGGACGTTAGTTAATTCACCACTTATTGATTTAGCATTACATTAAAATTGGTGATATTTTGTTATATTTTTCATATTTTAGTTGACAAATTCTGCAATTTTACTCTTTATTTTACAAAATCGGTTGATTAAATTAAACATTATACAGGCTGTTCCGTTTTTATTGTTACAAACTTAAACACGTGATAGAATATTCAATTTTAAGACAAAAGTTTCCTATGAACATGTATCAAAAAATGTTACGTAAGCGAGCTACACCCCCCTGAAAGAGATGCGTTTTTCATGGGGTTTTCCCACTATTGCAGAATAGATGAAATTACAACAGTTGGTACAGTTGATTACTTTTAAACACCTGAACGAATTTAACAATCAGTTGTCGAAATTTTTAATCACGGGTTTCTTAAACGGTGATACAAATTTAATTTTTATCCTCTTTATGGTCTGTAAGACATATTGTAAACTGATTTTACTCAAAAACGGTAAGTTTTATTGAAAAAACGCAAGAGACCTCCTTTTTGTGAAAAACTAATTTAGAATTTTGTAGCTGAAAGTAGCAAAAACCAACCGCCAAAATAGTTAGGATACTTCTTACCCTAAACCCCCCAGTTTAGGACGCCCCTGAGTAAAAATTTCGACATTTTATCTTTGAATTCATTTCGGTGTATAAAGGTTATCATTTGTACCAAATTTTGTAATTTTATCCACGATGGTTTCTGAAATATTGGAAAATCTATTAAAAGATGCACTCCTTTCAGGGGATGTGACTCCCTTATATAAAATTTTTCGATATATGTATGTTTATAGGGGAAACTTTTATCTTAAAATTGAATATTCTATCACCTGGTTAAATTTGTAACAATAAAAATGGAACACCCTGTATATTAAAGTAAATAATTAATAGAAAATGCATTTTGAAGATAAAACTATTGACTTGAAAACAATAACAAATAATACCAGATTTCAATAATAAATTGTTGATTTTTAAAATTTAGAATATTGTAGGAGACTTAATACGTTTCTTTTGATAACAGAGCGTGGTAGCATAAACACAATTTCAAAAAATTACCCTTGTACATTTTTCTAGTTTTAGACAAAAGCTCGTAAAGCCTCTTAGTTATAATATTTCTGTTTTTACATTCGAATATTTTAAATTTACGCTTTTTGTTAATGCGCATTTTTAGTGTGCAGTTTTAGCAAGATTTTCTTGCATCCAAGCTAACTAAAATTGCGCGCGCAATTTCAGTACTAAATTCAGTACTGAAATTAGTCTCGTGTCAGACAGCTCTAACTGTTTCATACTTGAAGATCGTCTTTGCGCATTAATCGACAATCTTGGAATATATCGTCGGCATCTTTCGTATCACGATCTCTGGAATGTCCACTCGGAAATCTAACGGCGGCATAAGCACCATCCACTTTCAAAACGCGACCAGCAGGCACACTTCGTACATCTTCAACGAAAATAACATTCCTCAGAAGCCATTCTTCTTCGTCTTTTCTTTGTTCCGAACCGGTGTCGCCTCCCGAAACGGTCATGCGTTTTTGACGCTCTTTAATCGATTTTTAAAATTGTTTTTATGACAATTGAAAAAAACTTACTGTGACTGTTTGAAATACTTCCGGTATCGCTGCAAGTACTCGAAGCCGGCGATGGTGGCGGAGGCATGTCTAACCTATCAGCATTTTCTTTATTCGATGAACTCTTATTTGTCAAATTCGCTGTAAAATAACAAAATCGTTAAAATCGAAACTACAACACTAATCTAACAAGAATAAAAAAAAAAAACGAATCAGCAAAAACATACATCATTAAATCAGTGGTTAGCACTTAATTCATCATTTTTTTCCAATTTCATGAATTTTAAAAATGACTTACATAGTCCACTGGGGCCAGGTACTGCGTCCCTCCCTTTATCCGAACTCGAAGCTCCAGTCGTCTGAACGTTGACAATCTTGAAAGTACAAGTATCGCTCAATGTCCAAGCTGCGTTCTGTAGTTGTCCCACTTTGGGTACTCCATTCGCAATCGTAAATCCTATCGCACCAGCTTGGTACATGGGACTGTTTTTCATACAAACTTGTGATCCGGTAATGATCTCTGATTGGTTATTTGAAGGTCTCTGTTTCCGACATTTCGTTCTGTATTTCTCCCACAATCGTTTGCGTTGAGCGAACGGCAAAACTCCCCTTTAATCATTCAAATTATAAACGAAATTCTCTCATATTGCGTGATACTCACCACCAGTACAAAGCACCACTTTCAAGTTTGGCAACTGTGTACAAAGGACAAGTATACAAAGACGCGACTTTATCAGTTTGAAATTCAGAATAGGCTTGAGCTGTATGTTCCAATTTCGCTGCTGCTGGTGCTAGAAGCTCGTCTAACCATGTGGCGACTTTGCCACTTTCGGTTGATACTGAACAACGGGTGCAACAGGCCGACAAATGAACGACTTTTTCGCCCATTAGCCCCAAAGGAACTGTCTTAGGATGATGTATGTTGGGGTTCTAAAACAATAATTATTCATCGGTTGGTTTCACTTGTGTAAATTTACCTCTGGATGTCTGTAAGGCTCAGAGTCGTTCCAACGCCATTGAAATAATTGTCCGTTACTCGACAATGCGATTAATTCCGAGTAGAGACTTGCAATTTGGACGAATTTCGGTGCCGAGTCAGGCCAAAATTCCAAATCATCGGAGATCCACAATGGACACGCACTGTCTTTCTTCTTGTGATCTAAATATTAAAACTTTAGAATCAAATAAAACTTTTGAGTTATAATAACCTGAATCTTTTTCATATGGACTTTCCCTTAGTGCTGTTTCGAGCCATCTTCTAGGTCCAAAGTATTGACGATCTCTCCATCTCGAAAAATTCTCTCTGTCTCGATCCGAATTCGAACTATTGTTAGGTGGTGCATCTCTATCGGCCAATCGACTTCTTCCACTGCCGCGACTATTAAGGAAGCTTGTTTGAGCAAAGTCAAACATTCCCAACGAGTTAGTTAAAATGCAAAAAAAAAAAGAAAAAAAAATGCAAGCGACAGAATTGTTAACCAGATAAAAAGCACAACCATACAAAAAGCAAAAAACAAAACAGATTAAACCCCAAAAATCCTTACTTCCTAATCCCCGAATATCCAAACATATCTTCGGAAAACATCGCATCAGCATCGATAATAACCGAATGATCGGTATGAAAACCTCCATCAAGCAGTGAAATTAGATCCTCTGGTACGTAAGAATCAGCAGCATCGTCTCCCTCCTCTCCTTCTTCATCATCACGCGACAGTAAATTATTAACGGCTAAATTAACATCGAGATTTGTGCGTTGCAACTCTCGTATTATCAAATTCCGGCTTTTTCCTTGAAGTACGACCTGTGCTTGCGAAACCAACTCTTCGGGTACATAGGGCGCCGGGACTGTAACCATCGGTCTTCCACTACTCGAACTGCTCGTTCCTATGATAACTGGAGCCCCACGACCGCCTGAAATTCACCCATTTCGTGGAATTCACGATTCAAAATCGACACTCACCGCTATTACTTCCACCTCTAATGGCCGTATTCGAACGCATGATCCTCGCCCTGGTCCTAGGCATCTGTCTTCCGCTCCCAGTTGGCTTACTGCTGCCGCTGCCACCGCCAGCACCGCCACTTGAACCTCCAGTAGCGCCGCCTCCGGAACTGCGCAACAACCAAGGTCTTGGTTGGTGGAAATGAAACGATTTAATCAGAGTTAAGCACAGTGTTAGGAATGCACAAATCGACGACACTGTGCGTCAAATACTCACTTTTTTGTCGAGTCGTTCTTACTGAGGTCTAAACGGTCAGAGAGGACGTTGTAAGAGACGCGACATACACGACCATCGTCGAGGAGAAGGGCGATGAACGAAGGGCCAAGGCAGATTTTCTTTATGCCGGAACGAAGGCTGGACAGGCCTGGGTGCGAGGTGTGGCCAAGGCGGTTGATTCGATCAGCTACTTCTTTCAGTCTGCAATTAAATAAAATATTTTTAAAATAAAAAAAATACTTAATGAGGTCATTGTTTGTTGGTAGAACTGTCTGATTTTGAAGTTGGTACTAGTGAAAGCCAAAAGAACTGACGTTTTTATTAATTTTGATTGCCGTTGCCAAGCAACTGGGAAAAGTGTGTTACTTGATTATTGATATTAATTTGAAACGAGCTTTATGTGCGGATGATAAACATAATTTTTGCTACATAATACAATAGATGCAAATTCTGAAGCAAAACCCAGTTTACACTCGGCAAATTTCGACGCAATAGAAATTTAATTAACGCAATAGAAATGTACTGAATCCGCCTTTTAGGCCTGGAGACTACCGCCCCTGATGCCAAAGTGTGGGTTTTGGGTCGAAAATCGGTCTTATGCAATTGCTTCAGTTCCCGAATCGGTCCGGAAATTTTCCAGAAGCCGTCCTAAATCATCTAAAATTGTGCAATAGGGGGCGACGCATCTCTGCCTTTAATTAATGGACGCAAAACTGTGGAATTTCTTCCGTTTCGATCTCCTCCATTTTACACAAATGTAATAATCAAGTCGATTGAAAATGGAGGAAGAGTCGAGTAAGGAATGCACAATGTTGGGAAATGCCTCACCTGTCATTGAACTGCTCCTCGTTCCCCGGTAAAGGGTGAACGACGTACTGCAAAGACGACATCGCTTTTAAAACACTTATCACAATTGTATTAATGTAAAATTAATCCAAAAGCTACCACAAATATCAACACATTTTGATTCCAAACCGAGAAACATTCGCCATGTTTTCGGGTTTTAGCTTCAATGACGCGAAGTTTGACGCGAACTTGTTTCCACATGTCAATGCATCGACATGAAGTTGGCCGACGCTAAGGCGCTAAATTTGAACATAAAACTATAATAAAAGTCTACAATTCACACACATACACAAATTAATCAAAAACCTTTGCAGTATTATAATTCTAACGTAACAATAAACTTAAATAAAGTAGTTATAACGTAAACAAAAAAATAAACAAATAGCACAGTGATCTATGCAACCAACAATACAAATTTGCAATGAAATTAATCGTTTTAATTGCAGGCTTGTTTTTTAATTAAACTGTCACATATGCTTTTCTTGCGTATTTCCTCTTTCAAGTTTTATTTTATCTTATTATATTACATGGAATTGGTTATGCAACCAACAATGCATTATTTTTTTTGTCCAAAATTGGCGTCCAAACTGGCCCAAGTCGTCCACAGTGCCCATTTCCACCCATGAAATTGACAATTAGCCCCAACAATTAAATTTTCATCTCCTCGTGCTGGTTCGTCCCTCTCCGGTTTCTTCTTCGGTCTTTCTCTCGTCAGTTTGTGGACTTCAGTTGCCTTGTAATGGCAGGTGTGTTGTTGGGTGTGTGTGAAAGTGCAATAAACAATCAGTACATTTAACCGGAATATCAAACCTAACCGTAACATGAATGTAAGTAACCGAACCGAACCTTTCCATCCATCTGCCTCACAATCTGTGAGAAAAAATGCACCGAAAACTGAGATCAATGACCATGGGTGGGTTGTACGGCACAGATTTTTCACCGAGTCGACGTGCCTTTGTGTTTCTGTCTTTTTCCAACAGCGGGTCGATGGGTGATTATTTAGTGCGACGTGTCTCTGGGAACGCTGGGTTGTTATTACGATGCAAAATGCATTTTGAGGAATTAGAGGTGGCTTGAGGTGGTGCGTTTTTTGAGGATTTTTCTGGAAAATGACGGCTTTCCGTGTTAAACAAACAATTCGTAATTGTTTGTTGGGAGTGATTATTTTTTGATTTATTACACTTTTGTTTGGGATTAGACCTCATTTTCCGTTTTCCGGACCAGTTTTAGGACCGAATTCCAGGGGCGCCGGTAGCATTCTTCACGGCTCGTTCGTTGACACACATCTACAGAGTGGTGGAAAAAAGTGCCCCGTTTTAAACTTGTTTTTCCCGTGTGGGGAGAATTTTTCGATGTAGATGAGTAAGTTACATAAATGTATCTTTAATAATTCATGGGGCATTCAAGAATGAATTTACAATTCCATTACGTTTGGAACTGTTCATTTTGTTTTGTTTACTTTTAAAATTTATTTAATGTCATCATAAAATTTACAAACTGAAGTCAGGGTGATTACGCAAGAAATATTATGACTGATGAAAGAAATTGATGAGAAAGCATGTTGTGTGTTTGAAGGAAAATAAAAATTCACAAAGTAATTACAATTCGTCCAAGGGTATCCGATAGTTATTATGATAGTAACGGTTTTTTCCTTAGTAATTTTCTAAAACTCATTTCTAATTGTTACTAGTAACTAATTGTCTTTTTATTAATTTGAAAGAAAGAATTGTGAATTTGTTGAAAAATTTTAATTTTGTTACGACGTTTAACAGATTATTAAATGAGTTTAAAAAACAAATCTAGGGTAGAAAAGCTTTATTTCGATTAGGTAATAATTGTATATAGAAGCAAATATCTTTTTATCTTATCAGAATGGTTTTATTTATCTTTTTCTATTTGAGGAACATAATTGAGATGTTTGTTGGAAGAAGGGTAGAAAATGGGTTGAGATTACTTTTATTTGTTTGGTACATAATTTCTCAAGCTAAATTTTATTAAAAAAATACACAAAATGAGTTTTGTGAAATGAAGTTGAAATAATCTAAAATACAGGGTGATATAATAGTCATGTCATCTCGTGGGTGGTGATAAATAAGATCCAATCGAGTTAAAAGTTCCATGACAAAAAATAGTTTGAGAGTAATTCTTAATAATATTGATGATCTTGTATGTTTTTTTTTATAATTATTTAATAAAGGTACAATAATTTTTCCAATAAAAGCCACAAATAACATTAGAGAGAGTTACAATTTGGGATACAGCTTCTTTGTTTCCTTTTCTAATAGCCTGTAGCAAAAAAAACATGGAAAATAATTTTTCGAACAGAAACAAATAGAGTCAAAGTGCAAAATTGAAACTCTCATAACTTCGAAATTTTTATAGATAGATTTTTTTTACATTTTTTCCATGTTCCTGGTATCTTACCCTACATGTTACGTTGGTCCGGGACTTTTGACACACCCTGTATATCTAATCGACAAATTGAAAGACTGCGATTTTTTAAATGATCGTTTTAGTCGAGCGAAGCTCATAAAAGGTACGCGAAATCTACATACTTTTATTCTAATATCAGAAAATAGAATAAAAAAATATAGAGAATACTTTTCCTCAATCGAGGATTTTGTATTTATTATTGATATTTTTTGAAAAATAAATGTTAATAAGTTATTGGAAATTGTGTTTTCTATACAACAGTTTATTAATGACGGTAATTGGTGATTTTTCTATTTAATTTTCAAGGAAACGTTACTTTCAGGCGATCTTAGGGGATCAAAAAAAATTTGTTTTTCAGCCATTTTTAAAACGTCCGTCTTGAAACTTATGTGAAGACACTGTAAAAATATGAAAGTTTTTACATAATTTTTTTGAGAATTTTAAAAACCTGCGTAATTGTTTATTTTTTTGTTTAAACAATATATTTTTAAATTATTTGTTATTAACAAATTTTTAGAATACATGTATTATCACGTCCATAGTGTAGCAACTTCTTCTATTATTAAAAAAAATCGATTTGTTCTTTAAATAAAAATTATTTTTGTTACGAGGTACTTACATACATTGAAAAAATAAAAAACGGTGGAATACGTGTCACTTATTTTTACACGTTCTATAACATATCTCAAATTTACGAAAATCAGAAACAATGAGTTTTAAAAGTGATCGTTTTGGCATAGATTTACTCAAGAGCCTTTTTTCACAAGATATATCTCTTCAAAGTTAAAAAATATTTAACAAATTAGCAAATTCAACAATAAATTTATTTAATTAATATGGAAATTGTCAGTTCTGTTCTTTTCTAAAAAAAGGCTTGAAAAAAAACCTGCATTCATTTTTACGTTGAGCTGAAATTCTTCTATCACCGTTCCTGAGTTGTACCGACACTTTTGAATCACTCTGTATTGTAACACAAATTATAAATAAATGATTCATTTCTGTTGAAAAATGTTTGTAATTTTTTAACGGGACCTCTAATAAATGTTTACTCGTATTATCGATTTCGAAGAAAATGAAATTACAACCCCTCGAAACTCAAAAATTCACCATCAAGCTGTAAACCTCTTTAACTTCCCAATTCCTCGGGGACAAGCCTGGAAAAGTATTTCATCTCGTGAAATTCCCAGGGAAATGGCCATGTTTTTTGAAGTTATTCCCCCAAACACTGGTTGGTATAATTTGTGCAAAATGTCTTGTAAGGTGATACCAATAATCATAAACAATGTACACGTGATACTTCAAGGCCAATTCACACTGCACCATTGTAAATAATCGCAACAATTATTACGCAACGAAATGTGTTCCATGAGGGATGTTCTACGAGCCAAAAACTTGTAATTCGGACAAAAGAGTGCAAATGATGTGTTTTTGTGACCGAGAAACCAGACGCTTTTCAAATTTTATGTCGAGACGACGCGAATTTTATATGTTTTCCGATCGATGCAGAAAATGACCGAAATTGGCGTGACACGAATGACAAAAAATGTGCTAAAATGATCAATGGGCAGGTTGGGTTTCACTCCGTGGGTGCTTAATGAATTATTTATGCAATAATCCTTTCAGTTTACAAAATTCCTTTCAGCTCCGAACCCGATACGACCTCCATTAGCTCTAATTTTACCACCATTTAAACGCCACTTTGAAAAACAAATCGAGTTGAGATTGAGTCGTTTTTTGATTGGGTATTTCAGTAAATAAAACCTGGTACATGTGGCGAATTACCGGAAATGCGCCAAATTTAGACGGCGTTTATAAATCCTGAAAGCCGACAAAATGGAACTTGATCGTAATTACCTCGACGAAAATTGATTGAGGTTTGACACAGGGAACTTAAAATGAGACGTGTTGTCAAACATTTTTCATTTACGCCCTAATCTGTGCCCAGTGGCGCAAAACAAGGCGGTTTTCTTTCGTCACTGACTGAATGTGAAACAATTAAGTTGACCTTAAACTACGCAAATTAACCTTTGGAAATTGAACAGAAACAAGTTATTAAGAGTGGACGACTCGACATATGGGAACTTGTAAAGGGGCCACGTCAAATTTCCTATTTACATCATTAAAAATACATTTATAAAATATTCTCAAAATATTTTTCCCTTTTTTCCACCTAAACGAGTCGCAGATGTGTCTAGTTTCGCATTGTTGCTATAGAAATGCACGTAACTATGGTGACAAAAAGGTGCAAAAATAAATGTTGTCATAGTTACAATACAATCGCCAGTGGCGGGTAAAAAAAATCAACTTTGATAACGTTTATTTTTTTATAATTCAGTTTGAAATTAATTTGAAACGAGTTTTAACCAATGCAATAAACACGTTTACAAAATTAATGATTTTCTCGTGAATGAATTTCCACCCCTCCGTGTCATTTCATTCAGTCATTCCTCACATTCCGTCCTTGTTTTGTATCTCCCGAATCAGTCATTTCGTTACAATTCGGAATGTAAAATTTGTTTCATAATATTATGTACTACTCCAAAAAAAGGAACAAAAAATCTTCCCAATCTTTTTTGGTGATTTTTGAAGGGCTGTAACTCATCGAAAAATGGTTGGATTTAGATTTGAAAAAAAACATTTTTTTCTTTAGGAAAAGAGTGCGATTCAGTCGAAGAGTTGAAAAGGTTGTATGAGGAGAAGTGTAATTAATTTGTTAAATAAATA